TATGGATACATACATGTATATATCTAGAGGATTAAGGGACCATTTCTCGCCTGCAGACCAGTGCTGCTGCACAGAAGCTGGCCACTTTACTTGTTACTGATGGACATTGGTCTGCCAGCAGATAACATGTGTAGTACTCATCATCTCTACTGGGGATGTTTTGCAAAATTGGATGAATAAAAGTGTCACGGATACCAGTATAGAAGGAGCTATACAACAGAACATGGCCAACCGTCTCCACCACACCAGCCTCACAAGGACATAAGCGCTCTTCATAGAGAATGTTCTTGTATCTGCCTTCCAGCAGGACTGAAGGAAGTACATTAAACTTTGCTAATGTAAAACCTTTTCTATATTTTGTAAGGGCCAGAATATTCAAATAGCTTGCAGGTAAAAATGCCTGACCATAATCTCTAAAGCCAGGATGGGTCGTAGCTATGCTGGCATGGTGTTGCAGCTCATTGTCTGTGATTCGCTGGTGTAGTTCCTGTTTTGCTTTTGAATAGCCCATTATAGCACTTCTTGAGAGGCCCAAATCATTTAACTTCTCATTCATAGATCTTTTCCATCTGGACTGAAACTTATCAGTTAGCACTTAGGGGAGCCAACCCCACAGGGGTGAAGAACATTTTTAGCCAAAAATTCAGCTTACGTATCCATGCCCAAGACTCTATCAACATCTGGCCTGTTTCTAGTCGTAAAAATGCATTTGGCACACAACTTGGGAGTCCAATGATAGTTCTCAGAAATTTCGTTTGAGTGGACTCCATTGCAATAAAATTTCTTTAACTACACCATTGTATACCATATAACATCTGTGCTAGCACCTTGGCATTGAAGACCTGTATGGCTGATGGTATATGCTGACCTCCTTTTGCAAAGAAAAAATGTATGAGTGACTTAATACTTCTCTGAGCATTTGCAATAGTGTTGGATAACTGAACCTTCCAAGATCCTGAGGACAGGAAGATCACACCCAGATATTTATAAGAACTTGCTCAATTGGATGGTCATTTATTTGCCATTTATGTGTGATCCGTTTCCTAGTAAACACTAAAACGTTTGATTTATCATAATTAATTACTAACTCCTCAGTTTTACAATAATTGCCCAGGGCTCTTAATAACCGCCGTAAGCCAACATGGGTTAATGAGAGAAGTACAACATCATCTGCTAGTTTAGGGGGATGAATGTTGGTTCCAGATAAATTCTTGACCAAGGAGTTAATATAGATGTTGAACAAAGTGGGAGCCAATACACAGCCTTGTTTGATGCCAGCATATGTGGGGATGGCCTTGGTGAGGTGACCTGCCCTGTTACATCTCACCTTCAACCTGTTTTTTTCATAGAGGCAGCGGATCAGGAGCAGGAGCCGCCTATCAATGTTGGTTGTCTCCAACTTCTGCCAAAGCCTGATAGGAAAAAAAAGTCTTACAAGGCACCATAGTGATCGCAAAAACCAATCGTCTTGCGGGTTTTGCGTACCGCAAGACAATAATCTAGCAAGGCACCACTGTATTTTGTAATTCCCATCAATTAATGTACCTCTCTGAATTTAGATTTTTCTATATAATGTATATATTTTTGTATGATTATTGGAATTATTCTTAGAAGAGATTATTTAGAATTATTATGGGAAAAAATACCGATTTGTAATGGGACTGTTCAAATCCACCCCCTCTAAATGTATCCTTATTCCAGTTATCCCTTACCCCACCCTGCCTCTATAAAGAGATAAATAAATAAATAAATAAATAAATAAATAAATAAATAAATAAATAAAAATACATAAATAAATAAATACATAAATAAAGATGATAATAATAATATGGCCTTTATGATGTTACCAACTGACTTCTTGCTCTTCTCTTTTAAATAATAATTCTTTAAACTCTAAGGAAGATGGTTTGCTCACCTGAACCAGGCAGGTAGGACAAGACTGCACACTGACTGTACCCCTATGACTGTACCTTGAGAAAGCATGCTAATACTGGATTTTCTCCATGAGATAAAATCTGCTGAGACTTTGAGATTTTGCATTTTAACCTGGCAGCACACAATGTAGCAAAGCTAGTGAATTGCCAAATACTCAGGTAGTGATCGTTTTAATCTGGATCTTGCAGTGGGGTCGGCATAAATCTGCAGCCAAATGGAACACAAACTATTTGGGTATTCTGGTTTTGTAGGGTTATACCAATGTCAATACAGTATTGCTATCTTCTGCCAAGTTCCAAGTAACATCAATTAACACGAACATTTATTTCACATTGAACTATTAAAAGAATTTCTGTGGTGATGTAACACAGGTTCAGAAACACACATGCTCACAAAGAAGAAAGGAAACTGATCACTGCTGTAAATCAAGCTCCTGCACTCCTGTCCTTGTCACCCGCTTTATCAAGATATATAACAGCAATCCTTTTCTGAGGCTTTATTCATAATCTATCTCATCTATTGAAATTCACACGGTGGTTTACACATTATACCCAAGGAGGCTGTACTGTGTACACTTACATGCAAACACAGTGATTTCCAAAGAGATTTGAATTGATTACTGGAAGTGCAGAACAAAATTGAAAAGGCAGCATCATTTGCAGACAAAGGCCAGGAATCATTATGAATCATTTTAGCAGTAACTGAGTTACATTTCAGAGAGACAGGTTTGCTTTCTCTCCTTGTCCCTTTCACCAAAATCAATGAGGTCACATATTTAAGCATGCCAGTAGCAACAGCTTTTTTTTAAAGAACCAAGAACTTTAAAAATGACATTTAAGGTTTAACATCTCCTGTCAATATTACAGATGCTTTGGGATGTAAAGATGTCATTCTACTAATAAAATTTTGCAGGTCTGCCCACCTATCCTTATTTTGTTGTTTGTGCTGGAGTGGAGGAAGATACACATTAATAAACAGCAGGGTAAAACATCGAAGCTTAATAACCAGAGACATTGCCATATGTGGTAATGCGGCTAAGTTAATTTTGGTGGCTCGAAGCTTAGTAGAAACTAACACCCCAAGGCCTCCTTTGGCTCTACCTCCCCTGGAACTTGGTTCGGCTTTCAGTGTATAACTTGTAAAACCATCTAGTTCCTGTTCTTTTGTCTCCCAAGTTTCTTGGAGGCATACTATATCATATCCCCTAATAAAATGTTGAAAAGAGGGATCCAGGAGCTTGCTTTGCCAACCTGCGATGTTCCAAGAAAGAAGTGTCAACTGAGAATATATTTGAAGAGTTGGTGTCCAGTCAATAATAGCCATTTTCTTACCAAGAGGGGGATTAGTGGAACTCTCTCTTTCTGGAAGTCCTCCCTGATTTGCCCTTGTCCAGCCTGCTATGTTCCAAAACAGATGTTTTGGTGGATGGGAGGAAATGGACAATCTGGACAATTCTATGATTTTAAGTTTTTTTTAGTATACCCTCTTGGTCCAGAAAGATGCTGCCATTGTTTATTGTGGCAGGACAGATGTTTTGGTCCCTAGAGGGCGTTTTATAAGTAGGAGGTGAGCCACGTTCATGACGTTGTAAGACCTGTAGGCCTAACCAGTCCTTCTCTGATAAGCAGTGTTTTTACAGATTTCCTAAAGGCTAGGAGGGAAGGGGCCTGGCTAGGAATTCCATAATGTAGCGTAACAACCACCACCAATAAGACCCAGTTTCTAGTTGTCAATTTCCAAGCAACCCTCAGGGTGATAGCCTGCAGCATCATAGCTTTAGTGGTGTGGGTGGCATGGGTGGATGCTCTCAGGCAGAAGTGCTCCAACAAGTAACAAGAGCCAAACCATTCAGGTCTTTATATATCAATACTTAAACCTTGAATTTGGAACAGAAGCATATAGGCAACTAATGCAGGTAGCCCAGAACTTGGAAGAAATGATCGTATCCCAAGATACCTGAAACTAAGCCTGTTCATTGCATTTTGTACGCATTGCAGCTTCCATGCCACCTTCAAGGGTATCTCTATGTACAGAACATTGCAGTATTTTATCCTCGAGATTACTAATGCATGAACTAGTCTTGTTAGGGATTTCCTATCCAGATACAGGCATAGATGTGCAATCTGCCTAAGCTGGAAAATGCCTAAGCTGGAAAATGGGATCATTACTGGATCACAATTAGTTGGGCAGTCCTATATTCAGGACTGTCACTGATATTCTGCATATTGTAATACAGCATTTTATTTGATTTAAAAAGTGTAGATTTAAAAAAATTGGTGCATTTTGGTTTTGCATGCCTGACCAAAAAAATCTGATATATATTAGAATGCATGAAGTATTGTATTGGTGTTTGTGTAAGACTTTCATAATCTGCTGTGGCTAATTGCAAGGCACATTGCTTGTGCAATCAGACACATGACCAGGCATGCAACTGAGACACACACTGTCACCTCATTGATTAACTGCAAACCTTATACAAATCCAGTAGGATTTAAGCCAATAAAGCAGAAAGATCTAGCAAGGAAACAGAAACAAAATTTAAGGCATGGGAAACATGTGTTACATTCCAGGGTCAATTTGGTATCAACCAAATTTACTTTTAAACATTGTTACATCATGTTATAAAAATATTTTACAGAAAGCAACACTTCCTTTTAAATCTACAGATCAGTGGATAGTAGTAAAGTGGCTCTGATCTTTCCATGTTCAGTCTTAAAAAAAATCAGATCAGCTAGCCTTGACCATGTTAATAATTTAAACAAATTCATATCCTTTCTGCTCAACTGTTGTGTCTTGACTTTAAGGTGCAATAAAACAAAAGAAAGAGGGAAGAAGGTCTGAGAATAAATCATACTGCAGGGGTCATATTATCAGATGATGAGAAGACTTTGAAAAGGAAGTAGGAGACTAAAAAGATGATCATTTGCAATCCTTAGGGGATAAACTAAGGAGGGAAAACAATCTCCTTTTTTGTTTATACTATTGAGTAACTTAATTTCATCTTATTTGGAACATGACAAAAAGATGAGAACTAAAATGAAAACAGGTTTTGAATTAGGGTCAATTTTTGTTTAATCAGTCAACATTAAAGCAAAATGGAATTAGGACAGTGAGTGGATGGCATGCATGATTGACAGGAAATGTTTGAAAGCTCATCTCTGTAAATAAAATGGTCACCAGTATGTTCTGTGATGGAACTGACTGAAGAATCATTGGGATGACTCCTAATGGAAAGTCAAGACATACAATTGATTTTTTTCCATAAGAATATTTTATGCTCACTCAGAATCCACCACAAGTTACTATTGAGCAAGTCTTCACAGTCTGTAGACAAATCAGGACAAAAACAGTTCACCGCTCAGGCATGATGTCCACCAAGTTAACCTTCTTGATTTTGCTATATGTTTGGGATTGTAAAAATAGTTTAATTTCCTATAGCAGTGGTCCCCAACCTTGGGCCTCCAGAAGTTTTTAGACTACAACTCCCAGAAGCCTTCACCACCACTTCTGTTGGCCAGGATTTCTGGGAGTTGAAGTCCAAGAACATCTGGAGGCCCAAAGTTGGGGACCACTGTCCTATAGGACACAGCTTGTGGGTGACATACATGTGTATCATGTATTTTAAAATAACCAAGTCCAAACAGTTTTTTCATTGTCATTTAAGCATAATCATATTTCACCATTATTTCAACTCTTATTTTGTAATTCTTATCAGTAATATCATAAACAGAAAATTAATCTTAAGTAGAATCTTCATTTTACATATTGCTATTCTATTAAATCATGACAATCAAATCTTTCCAAAACTATTCAATTTACCTTTGATTCCTTGCCTTCATTTATTGAAAAAACTTTTTAAATATTGCTTTTTTGCTAAAATTTATACCTAAACACTTAACAGTTATATATTTTAAACTCAAATTTATTCCTAATCCTCTCCTTCCCTTCTTTATCAGAATTAAACACCAACATCTCTTATTTTTGGAAATTTATCTGCAAACCTGTTATCTCCTCAAATTCCTTTAAATGCAATTTAACCAAATCCATAACCTTAAGCAGATCCTCTATTATTAATCAACAGTATATAAGCAATTCTTAGTTTTACTAAAATCTATATGATTTATTAAATAATCTTTTCTAATTCCATTTGTTCATAATTCTATAACTAATATAAATAACATAGAACGAAGGACCATCCTTTCTCTTTGCCTCAAAATCCTGATAGTCTAGCAAGGCCAAGACACTAAAACTTCTGAGAGGCAATACAAGGTCTACCTGAAATGAACTGCCTGCTTTTATGGTTCACTTAAGCATCAGTGACTCCCTCCCATTTCCTCAGTTCTTGGATTGCTTGTTGGTGGTCATTCCAATAACCTGGTCCAGAAGTAATTGTACTGTCATTGTTATTGTCATTCTTTCCCATCAACAAAAAAATAAATACACTCTAACTATGTGGGACTCTTTCATCCTCTTTCAGTGTTGTCATCTGTTTGTTAATAGTGGAAACATTCAATAGCATTCTATGAAATCTAGTCCACTCCACAGAAAATAGTAATACTGAGAAAAATGATACAGGACAGAAATTTGCAACTGTCCCCTCCCTCAAATACTGGCCATCCTGAAAAGAGTTGAACTTACAGATTCATCATGGCCCATTTTTGTAGTGGTGCTGATTACTATGTAAAGTTGTGAAATGACTGAGGAAGCTTAGGAAGGGATTTCCAGATTAATATAATTGATAAATCCTTTGAAGTCCCATTCCTCCATTGTTCACAAAGGCTTATTCCTCTGTTGTAATGTTTGGCCCAAAATGTTCTATGAACACTGCCTGAAGCCACAACTCCTGCAACAATGGCTAATGATGGAAGACTGTGTCTGTTGTAGAGTTTGAGATTTTAGTAAACATTTCTCTAGCTACACAGCAGAAGTGCAGGGACTCACAGAGGAGAATAGCTTCAGGTTTCCAAGATTCTTTTCTCATCAACTGGCACTTACAGGCTGAATAACTCACTTGGAGGCATTTATAAGATAAAAAATAAAATATTTCATTTACTTACAATGATAACAGCAACCTAAAAACATGATTGACTGCTTGTAGCAGGCCTCAAAAGACTCAATGCCTGCTTCCAACGTCTTAAAGAGAATTTAGAGGCAGGGAAGAAAGAACTGGTTACTGCTGGGTTGATTGGCAGTCACCCCAGCCCAGCCCAGAAAGGACCCTTGTCCACACACCTACTAGAAGCAGCATGCCAGTGTGCAAAAACTCCAACCATTTCCTGCATATCACTTTCCTAAATTATTGAAATCAGTTGTTTCTGTGTATACCTGTCAGGCACCTTTTTCACATGAGGCCATATTTTTTCATCTTTACAAGGGAGCTCTTCAGTCTATCTATATTCAAGAAAAAAGAAATAAAAATTAATAAAAATAAATTGTAACTACAAAATGATTAGTTTGTCAAAATATTAAGAGCAAACATTATTATATGTTATAATGAACTGCTTCAGAGAGATATGCATAATGTTGCTTTGCATTGAAGAACAGCTTCAAACCAGTTAGATATTATCTTCTAACTGTTGTGTTGTTGTTGTTTTTGTTGTTGTTTAGTTGTTTAGTCATGTCTGACTCTTCATGACCCCATGGACCACAGCACGCCAGGCCCTCCTGTCTTCCACTGCCTCCCGGAGTTGGGTCAAATACATGTTGGTAACTTCAATGACACTGTCCAACCATCTCATTCCCTGTCGTCCCCTTCTCCTCTTGCCATCACACTTTCCTAACATCAGCGTCTTATCCAGGGAGTCTTCTCTTCTCATGAGATGGCCAAAGTACTGGAGCCTCAGCCTCAGGATCTGTCCTTCCAGTGAGCACTCAGGGTTGATTTCCTTTAGAATGGATAGGTTTGTTCTCCTTGCAGTCCAGGGGACTCTCAAGAGCCTCCTCCAACACCACAATTCCAAAGCATCAATTCTTTGGCGGTCAGCTTTCCTTATGGTCCAGCTCTCACTTCCATACATCACTGCAAGAAAAACCATAGCTTTGACTATGCGGACTTTTGTTAGCAAGGTGATGTCTCTGCCTTTTAAGATGCTGTCGAGGTCTGTCATCACTTTCCTAAGAAGCAGGCATGTTTTAATTTTGTGGCTGCTGTCACCATCTGCAGTGATCATGGAACCCAAGAAAATAAAATCTGTCACTACCTCCTTATCTTCCCCTTCTATTTCCCAGGAGGTGATGGGACCAGTGGCCATGATCTTAGTTTTTTTGATGTTGAGCTTCAGACCATTTTTTGCACTCTCCTCTTTCACCCTCATTACAAGGTTCCTTAATTCCTCCTCACTTTCTGTCATCAGATCTAATTGTTGTAGATTATTGCAATTCTAACTTAAAATCATTCACAAATGTAATACTATCATAGGTAGTATGAAACTGTTCTGCTAAGAAACTGTTCTGCTACAGGGCAGAGAGGATTCTGAGTGAATGACTCCTTTAACAGGCAAAACCGAGTTCAACAATTTTACCCTAGGGCAGTCCCTTCACTCATGCACCAAGTCTGACCCGATTTCTTTGAGAACCAAGATATACACGTGAGTTCTAGGGAATCTAATTCTCCTAGTACACAGGAATATTCTGGACCCAAGGTAGCGTTACTTTTCCGTGGCCTTGTAAAGAATAACCATTTAGGTAAACCAAATAACCAGTTGTAGCATTTGTTCTATTCAAGAAGCCAAACTCCAGATCTTAAGCATATTTTGTTTTATTAGAAAAATAAAGTTCTGAAAGAATAAACTTTATGCAAAGCAAGGCGTCTATGTACATTTCCATCTCATCCAGTTAGACAAGAAACTGGACTCCTCTAGAAGAAACAAACATAACAAACTTTCTAACTAATGAAATTGGGAAAGGCAAGCTCCCCCTCTATTTAAGTAAAAATCTACATCTTAAAATATTACTGTAAATCCCATTGTCCATAGTCCAATCAAGAACATACCAATCTTCTGGAAAATCCACGATCCATCAGTCCATTAGGAAAAATCCTCTGCTAAAATCCATCAAACAGAAATAAGTCCCTTCTGTGTCTTTCAACCATCTTCCATGTTCACTTTCTCTCCCCTTCTGCAACTTACTCCCGCCTTCTTCACAGCTAACAACCAATCAAGGGTAAGGAAAAAAGTAACTTGTCCCACCCCATCTTCTCATGAGAACTCAAGTTGTTATCATTCTAAGTTCCTGGAATGTTATGTCTTTGTTCTCTCTGTACCAGGCCACCGTTACTAGGTAACCAGATAACAGGTCAGCCTGACCAATTTCTGTGAAGCAAAGCTGTGAAGAGAAACTGGCTTTTGGAATTTTCCACTTTCAAACACACAGAGACCAAAATGGATTCTTTTAGGCTAACTTCATAGCCACATATTCCATCAGTAAATCACTTCCTAGCTTTCATAACCAAATTCATCACACTGAGATATCAACATATCTGATTGTACAACCTTGCTGATTATATCTTGACAGTTGTAGCCATCATTGTAGAAGATGGTGGCTCAATGCCAAGTCATTCAGACGAGACTAAATTTCATTTAAGCATCTGAAAAGTGATGTCCAAACTGTAGATGGCCCTGCCCCATTCATAGGAAAAAGCACATTTAAAAATGTTTTCTACCATTCCTAGAAAGGTCAAGGAACAAAGAGGTTTATAAAGTCCTCTGTCTTGTCAGTTCTTTTTCCGTTCTGCCTGTTTGGCTTTTCATGAGAAATGTTGAAACTGTATTTTAAATTGCAGTATGAATGTCGTATTTGAAACTCAATATCTGAATACTGTGCAATGCAATCTTTTGCAATGCACACCATTATAGAACCACATTTCAAAATTACTCATATTTGCAGTGTTCTTTAACTGCTTTTCTTGGGTTTCTTGATTTTTACTAATTACGATGAACTTGCATGTATTAGAACTAAGTAATGTCAAGCAGGGGATCCGCATATTAAAGGGGGCAGTGGGGCTATGCTATGGCCTAACTTTAATTTCACATAGCTTTCTCCAACCACACCTCCAAAGTTTATGAGTTAGGCATGGACATCTGAGCCAGAATAACCTATACATGCATGAGTTTTGACAGGAGCAGAAAGCTCAAGCATCAAAGGGGCTTGATAACTCTTTCAGTGTTTGAAAATAATGTGTGAATTGAATGCTATAATCTCCAGTTTACAGGAAAAGTTTGAAATCTGTTTTAGTATTGTAATATAATACAGAGGCAAAGCCTTCCTTTCCATGACCAGCACCTAACAATACAAACAGCACTGTCCAAGGCCTAATCAAATACATGAGGTTTTGTTGCACTCATAAAATGAGTGAATTTGAAGAGTTTTTTAAATTAAAAAATAATTTAAAAGGTGACCTTTACCACCTTTATTGGGTGTGCAACAGATCACCTCTACACAGACACAGACACATTTAAAAATGGGAACCAAAAAAAGAAGAAGAAGAAGGAAGCAATATGAATTGAAAGATGATGCCAAGGAATTTGTATACAGTAGGGGTGTCTGCAGAATGTGAATCTGCAGGGGATTGGCTCCAACCTCCCTCATGGAGGCTGAACAATGCATTTTATATTGTTGTAAAACGAAAAATGGAAATAAATTTAAGGTTCTTGGTTCCTCTGGTAAAGTGGCCAGGATAGCTGCTCCAGAGCCTCCAGGGGAAAAAGCTCACAAAAGGAGAGACCTCAAGCAGACAGAGACCATGCTGTGTATTCTTCATAGTACACTCTCTCGCTCCCTCTACGGTCAATTTTGGTAAAACATGTAAAAAAATTCTGAATGTTTTTCTTTCAATACTTTTAATATTTAATGTAATATTTGCAGAACATGGATAAGTGAATCAGTGGATGAGTGGGTATTTGAAAACTAAGCTGTGTTACAACAAACCATGAAAGGAAATCCAGAGGTGGGACTAGAGGAAGGAAGGAAAAAATGGGGGCTGTGGGCTGGAACAGCAATACATCCAATACAAGCACTGAACTCCTGGAACATTCTGCAGCCCCTGTGTGAGCACTTATTATGATCTGAAATGTAATACAGGCTTGGACACAAATCAAAGCAAAGCTGAATCCTTTTGATTTGGTGTTCCAGTGTAGTCATGCCCTTAATCTTATAACAGGCAATTTTTGTCCTGATATGCCAGGAGAGGCATACAATTTTACTTTTGATGGAGGGCACATTTTACTTTTTCTCTGTGGATTACCAGTAATAAACTTCAGATTGAGAGTTTGCTGCTGTGTACTTTCAGTCAGACATAGCTCCATAGTAATGTGCCAAGGTGATATGTCTGTTTTAAGCACATACTATCCATGCTTTTAAAAAATCTGCTGACAACCTGTTTCTAATTTCTCATTCTTGTAATAGGGATTTAAAGTTATGTGAGATGTTCAAGGAATAGTTTGTCATTGCCACCCATAGGGAGTTTCAATGGCTGATCAGAGATTTGAATCAGGGTCACGTAAATCCTATTCCAACATTCTATTCACCACACCATACTAGCTCTCCTTGTGTAAACACTTTAAAATGTTATGTATGAAGTGACCTGGAAATTATGAAACTTCTGTTCTGTTCCTGTGATACTTGGTACAATGTTGGTATTAACAACAGTGCCAGCCATTTATTTCACTTGTATACATATTTGCCATATTGTCCCACTCCTATGTCTGAGGAAGTGGACTTGTCCACAAAGCTCATATTAAAATATATAATTAGTCTTTAAGGTGCCATGACATTTTTATCTTCTCTATTGTTTATTTTTATTTTGGTCTTGCCTGCTACATTATTTCATTTTTATTATAATGGCATGACTGTGGATGATCATGCAAAGCAAAGCAGGCATGGGCCATAATGTTGTTTTAACGTCTATATGAGGCCACTGGGAGAGGCTATCTGGAGATTTGAAGTGGCTTGTCATCAATATGCTGATGACAGGCAGCTCTGTCTCTCCTTCCACCCTTCTGCAGTGGATGCCACCCTGTCCCTTGAGCTCTGCCTGGCTGCAGTTCTGGAGTAAATGAGGCTGAACCCAAACAAGATGTTGATATTTTGAGTGGATGCGCTGGCTGTTTGTAGATTGGTGCCTCCCTCTTCTTTGGGAGTGCTACTCTCTCGCTTTCTGCAACAGATGAGTTATGTAGCTTGGTTGTCCTACTGGATCCAACGCTGTTTATGGACACTCAAATAGTGTCTGTGGTCTGGTTTGCCTATTGCCATCTTAGATGGATTGCCCAGCTGCATCCCTTGACACTGGGTTGCCCACTATGTTGATTCATGCACTGGTAATCTCAAGATTAGACTACTGCAATGTTCTCTATGTGGGGCTGCCCATGAGTCTATTATGGAAACTTCAACAGGTCCAGAACATGGCAGACAAATTACTGAATGGAGTGAATAAACATCATCATTTCATCCCAATTCTGGCTGCCATACACTGGTTACCTGTCCATTTCCTTACCAGCTTCAAGGTGATAGTTCTAACATATAAAGCCCTAAATAGTTTGGGACCATAGCACGTGGCAGAATGCCTACTTCCAACAGAGTCTGCCCATCCTACAGCATCTCAATCAGACTGGCTGAGGATGCTAACCCTGAGAAAGGCCCAGAAAGAGAAGATGAGAAACCTGGCCTTCTCAGGAGTTGCTCCTAGATTGTGGAATGAACTCCCCCCCTGCAATTTGTTTGGTCCCTTTGCTGGCAATTTAAAAAAAGTAATTAAAATTATGCACAAACAAACAAACAAATAAATAAACAAACAAACAAATAAATAAATGAGACATACACTGTTTAGAGCAAATAGCAGTCTTACTCAAATCAAATGATAGCACACCAAATATGATCTGATGCAGCCAGTGCTGTTGTATTTATTAGTCCTGACTAAAAATTCATCATTGTCAGTTACATTAAAACATCTTACAATGCAGGTGAATGTTTGTTCAGAAATGCATAAATGTGATAATCTTTCTTAAGTAGTACTTGAGTTGTACTGAACTACCAAAAATGTATTAGAAATGAATGACCACTATGCACAGAATGGCTAAAATCTGGAATCAAGTCTCAAAGAAGATATGATTTTTTTAAAAAGCCCTGAAGTTTCAATGCTTTGCATTTCAGTCTTCTTTAATTGCAGATAATTTTGAGCAATTGCTTCCCCTTCACTACATTTTAATTTTTAAAAAAGTATGTCTTCATGCCTAGCAGGGAAGCTGACTTGCCATGGGCAAGTATCAAGGAAAAAAGCCACTTAGCAAACCACAAATTTCAGAGCCCTAGCCACATCTGCATTTTATCAACCTTTTCCGGATAGTATTACACCAAACAATTGTCTGCAGATCGGTAGACAGCTGAGACTTTAAAGTGCTGAATTACTGAGAAAATGCTAGAGATAAAAAACAGCACATGTATCCGATCAATGTAATGAAACCAACCTGCTGCTAGCGCCATCCTGCCTTAGTTCTAAGTACCCTGTAGAGGAACGGAAGGCTCTCATTTAACTCTTAAGAGGAAAGCAAGGGAATGAAGAGTAAAGGTCACCTAATACCAGCCTTAATCACTGAACAGAAATACCTTTAGAAACATGAAGGAATGTTTGGGGTTCAAAATGAACATCAACTGCAGGCTGCCGAAGTGTGTCTGATCACATCAGAGCCAGCATTTCCTCTTAGAAATTCCCATGACTTGCTCTGCTACCACTGGGAGATACTAGACAGGGGATCATCTGGGGTGGAGGGGGGAGGTGAACTGTAATGAAACATCTAGAAACGATTGTCTTCATGTCTGAATAGTGAGGTGATTTCTTCACATGTAGCCCACCCAGGCCGTTTCTTTCATTATGCAGACAAATGGGCATCTTAACACTGAGCCAGCCTGTATATGAGAAAAAGAAATTGATTAAAAAACATTTGATTGAATGTGTCATGTTGAGGACCTTCCATGTTCACTCAAGTTGTAAAATCCTAGGAAATGGCCACTGTAAAATACCATGCCTGTACAGGCAAAGTGCATATGGTATGGTATCCTGTGTTGTGATTTGTTCTGTTGTCATCACTACCTTGGAAACGGGTGGCTGACAATGATAAGAGTGGTGAACTAAAATCCAGATTTGTGTGTACAAATGCAATTGAAACTATTTAGCAATTAGA